CCAATCCTCATGCTGTGTTCTTCTTTATATAGTCCAGCTTCTTGGATTATTTGCTCAGCATACAGATTGAATAACTATGGTGAAAGGATACAACCCTGACGCACACCTTTCCACTTTAAACCACGCAGTATCCCCTTGTTCTGTTTGAAAGACTGCCTCTTGATCTATGTACACGTTCCTCATGAGCACAATTAAGTGTTCTGGAATTCCTGTTCTTTGCAATGTTAGTCATCATCTGTTATGATCCACACAGTCAAATACCTTTGCATAGTCAATAAAACAGAGGTAAACATCTTTCTGGTATTCTCTGATTTCAGCCAGGATCCATCTGACATCAGCAATGATATCACGGGTTTCATGTCTTTTTTTGAATCCAGCTTGAATTTCTGGCAGTTCCCTATTGATACACTGTTGCAGCTGATTTTGAATGATCTTCAGTAACATTTTACTTCGTGTGATATTAATGATATTGTTTGATAATTTCCGCATTTGGTTGGATTACCTTTTTTGGGAATAGGCATAAATAGAGGTCCCTTTCAATCGGTTGGCCAGGTAGCTGTCTTCCAAATTTTGTTGTTTTGGCAGTCCATGGTATATGGATAGGATAATATCCATACACCTACAAAGAAGACCAGTTAATATGACTATTATTCACATTCACAAACCAACCACTAAGGCCAAAGAAGAAGAAACTGAAGATATTTTACCAACTTCTGCAGTCTGAAATTGATCAAACATGCAATCAAGATATATTAATAATTACTGGTGATTGGACTGTGAAAGTTGGAAACAAAGAAAAAGGATGTGTAGTTGGAAAATATGGCCTGGAGATTGCATGATAGAATTTTGCAAGACCAATGACTTCTTCATTGCAATTACGGGTTTTTTCAACAACATAAACAGCCACGACTATACACGTGGACCTCACCAGATGGAAAACACAGGAAGCAAACTGACTACATCTGTGGAAAGAAGTGATGGAAAAGCTCAATATCATCAGTCAGAAGAGGGCCAGGGGCTGATTGTGGAACAGACCATCAATTGATCGTATGCAAGTTTATGTTGAAGCTGAAGAAAATTAAAATAAGTCCATGAGAACCAAAATACGACCTTGAGTATATTCCACCTGAATTTGGACACCATCTCAAGAACAGATTTGATGCATTGAACACTAATGACCGAAGACCAGACAAGTTGTCGGATGACATCAAAGACATCATACATGAAGAAAGCAAAAGATCATTAAAAAGACAGGAAAGAAAGAAAAGACAAAAATGGATGTCAGAAGACACTCTGAAACTTACTCTTGAACGTAGAGTAGCTAAAGCAAATGGAAGAAATGATGAAATAAAAGAGCTGAAGAGATTTCAAAGGGCAGTAGAAAAGACAAAGCAAAGTATTAAATGAAATGTGCAAGGACCTGGAGTTAGAAAACCAAACGGGAAGAAATGCTCGGTATTTCTCAAGCTGAAACAACTGAAGAAAAAATTCAAGCCTCGAGTTGCCATGCTGAAGGATTCTATGGGCAAAATATTGAACAATGAAGGAAGCATCAAAAGAAGATGGAAGGAATACACAGAGTCACTGTACCAAAAAGAACTGGTTGACCTTCAACCATTCCAAGAAGTAGCATATGATCAAGAACTGATGGTATTGAAGGAGGAAGTCCAAGCTGCACTGAAAGCATTGGCAAAAAACAAGGCTCCAGGAAATGACGGAATACCAATTGAGATGTTTCAACAAACGGATGCAGCAGTGGAGGTGATCAGTCATCTATGCCAAGAAATTTGGAAGACAGCTACCTGGCCAACTGGCTGGAAGAGATCCATATTTGTGCCAATCCCAAAGAAAGGTGATCCAACAGAATGTGGAAATTATTGAACAGTATCATTAATATTATACCAAAGTAAAATTTTGCTGAAGATAATTAAAAAACGTTTGTAGCAGTACACCGACAGGGAACTGCCAGAAATTCAAGCAGGATTCAGAAGAGGACGTGGAACAAGGGATATCATTGCTGATATAGACCTTGGCTGAAAGCAGAGAATACCAGAAAGATATTTACCTGTGTTTTATTGACTATGCAAAGGCATTTGACTGTGTGGATCATAACAAATTATGGATAACATTGCAAAGAATAGGAATTCCAGAACACTTAATTGTGCTCATAAGGAACCTGTACATAGACCAAGAGGCAGTCATTCGAACAGAACAAGGGAATATTGCATGGTTTAAAATCAGGAAAAGTGTGCGTCAGGGTTGTATCCTTTCACCATACTTATTCAACGTCGTATGCTGAGCAAATAATTTCAGAAGCTGGAGTATATGAAGAAGAACACGGCATCAGGATTGGAGGAAGACTCACTAACAACCTGCGATATGCAGGTGGCACAACCTTGCTTGCTGAAAGTGAAGAAGACTTGAAGCACTTAGTGATGAAGACGAAAGGCCACAGCCTTCTGTATGGATTACACCTCCACCTAAAGAAAACAAAAATCCTCACAACTGGACCAATAAGCAATATCATGATAAACAGAGAAAAGATTGAAGTTGTCAAGGATTTCATTTTACTTGGATCCACAATCAATGTCCATGGAAGCAGCAGTCAAGGTATCAAATGACATATTGCATTGGGCAAATCTGCTGCAAAAGACCTCTTTAAAGTGTTAAAAAGCAAAGATGTCACTTTGAGGACTAAGGTGCGCCTGACCCAAGCCATATTTTCCATTACCTCATATGCATGAGAAAGCTGGACAATTAATAAAGAAGACTGAAGAATTGATTCCTTTGAATTATGGTGTTGGCAAAGAATATCGAGTATATTGTGGACTGCCAGAAGAACGAACAAGTCTGTCTTGGAAGAAGTTCAGCCAGCGTGCTCCTTGGAAGCAAGGATGGTGAGAATTAATCCTAGGTACTTTGGACATGTTATCAGGAGGGACTGGTCTCTGAAGAAGGACATCATGCTTGGTAAGGTAGAGGGTTAGTGAAAAAGAGGAAGATACTTGATGAGACAGATTCACACAGTGGCTGCAACAATGGGCTACAACATAGTAATGATTGTGAGGATCGTGCAGGACTGGGCAGCGTTTCCTTCTGTTGTGCATAGGGTTTCTGTGAGTCAGAACTGACTTGACGGCACCTAACAACAACAACAATTGAATATCATCTGGAGGTAGGAAAATATTCCACTCTCATAACTCTATCTTCTGCGTGCCTTAAGAATAATTTAGGGAAGTAAATTTAGAATAATTTTTACTTTTTGAGGTCTCTTTTCCTTATACCTATTAAAATAACAATTTATCATTTTTTTCAGTCCATTTTACAAATAAACCAATTTGGATCAAAGTTTCTCTGTTAGCTACTAAAATCCCAAATCATAAGACAGCCACAAGAAGCAGTTTTTCTTGGAGCTGAGGCTTACAGTGACCTCATGGCAGCACACAGGGGGAAATAAAAAACAAAAAAAACCCTGACCAAATGCTCTCTCTAGGTCAAAACCAAAGTCCTCAAAATCTCATCTCCCTTTTTAGATGACCCACTTCAAAATTCGTCCAAGTAGACCCCATTTTTGGTGAGAAGCACACATTCACAGGGTCTCTGGGGCCAGTTCAAACAACAGGCTATGGAGTCTATGCCTCTGTTCTACTTTATGACTTTCCATTCTCTGACGAGAAACAACAGCATAACACTCTAAACCACACGGTACAGAACAAGGCAACATACACACCCAAACATAGCTACTCAATTCCAAGCTTTTCAGTCAGGTCGACCCCTCTTAAAATTACTGGAGATCGCCTTCAAACCCAGTTCAGTTTCCCTTGAACCCAGTTCAAGTATTCAAGTACAATTATTTGAGGCATCCCTTGGATCCCTTGCGCCCAAACTGGGCAAATACATTCAAATAAAATTATCTGAGATTTCCCTTGTATCAAATCCAACACATTTTATTGAGCTCAGTTCGATATCCCTTGAAACCCCTCCAAGGAAAGTATTCAGATAACACTAATTGGAAAACTCCCTACAAAACCTGAGCACCAAACAGAAATTTCCCAAAGTGGAAAGCAAAGGACAGAGCAGATGGGAACCCTGTTCCCCAAACAGACAACACAAGAGGTACTTAGCATGCAAAGGATGTTCATAACAGCTCAGATATAAATTCAGAGAATTCAACACAAAAGGAGTGGAACTCAAACCCAGGAGATTTTTAGCAAGTTCCCTAGCTGTGGTGAGGGAACAACTGGATGTTAGGGACCCATATTATTATTATTATTTTAATCTCTCATCGTAAAATGGGGCACTGTGATTTTCCTCTGGATCCGCTTCTGACACCAAACTGTTAAAAATAATCATAATTCAATGAAATTTGAACATAAAGTTTATTCTGAGCAGTTATTCTATATGCATATAGGGGGGCCATTTCGATTCCAGAAAAAGCAAATGTCTCGAAGAGCTATGTACAATGAGACTTATAAAGAGAAGAGGATGGAGAAGAATAGAAGGTTAACCATTGGCTAATCTTAACATGATTGATTGAACCCCCCTTTCACTGAGATCAACGGATAGCAGTTCACAAGATGGTCCCCGCCCCTTCACACAGCCATATCTTGTGAAATTCAAATTTAGTAAGCCTGGCTTCTAACAGGAAAGAAAGGATTTGCAACTTTGGGTGAAAGAAAAGTGCCAGCGGATTAATCTTGGCCAGGGATTTCTTTAAAGTGAATATGTAGTTTTGTAAGAAAACCCCCAAAATCAAAGCAAGATACCTGCTATCGATTTCTCCGACAGTTCCTTGTCCTCTGCTTTTCTTTCAACAGGGACAGTTATGACAGGAATATTAGACTTGCCACCTGACAGCCCCTCCTCAGGCAGAGGCCCCATTCACCCCACAATGGCTGCTGGGTGGGATGCATGTCTGAAGCTCTTTTTTTTTCCCTCCCTTCTCCTCCCAGAGAGAAGTCCTAAGAGTACAAAATGGATTAGTGATCCGAGCTTCAACGTCAGTCTGCTCACATGGAGCGTTTAGGACATTCAGGGGAGGGTGAAAGCCACAGAATCTGGAGGCAGGCTTTGTAGAGGCAGGTTGTAGAGATGGGGAGATCTCACAATCAGGCACAGCCTAGGAAGTGAATTGTAGGGCTTTCCAGTTGCTACAGTGATGCCATCTTCAGTCACAACATCTTAAGTATTCACTGAGAATCTAGCATGTGCTCAGGTACCCACCTAGGGGCAGTGCATAAGGTGAGAAAATATACACAATCCCTGCTTGTGGGGGCCCTCCTGGGAAGAAGTGATGCCACTCCCTCCTTGATTCACTTTTTGGACCAAGGGAATCACCCCCTCTCTTGGGTCTTTTATCTGACTACACCTTCTCTGCCTCCTTTTCCATCTACTCCTTACCTGCTCTCCCCTAAAACTTGAAGGGTCCAAAGGCACAGTTCTTGGATTCTACTGTCTCTATCCATTCTCTAGTTGATCCTTCTAGCCTCCCAGCTTTGAAAACCAAATGCATAGCTCTGGTCCTCTCTCTCTCCTTATGACTTGGCAGAAAAAAAAAAAAGCTAAGCAATGAAGGCCATTTCCACCTGTTTCATCAGAAATGCTAGCAATGTCACAAATGCTACATCCCTGGACTAAATGATCTGCCTTCTCTGTCTTTTTTATGCAGGTGCAGTAATGGCCTTCAGATGAAGGCTGCAGAGAAGCTACAGTAATCCAAAAAACCGTTCTTGTTTTCTCTGCCAGTGACTTTGACCATTGAACAGAGTCTGGAAGTCCTAGGGATTTCTGCAAACCCCACATCCTGCACAGTCACATTCAAGGGAACATTTGTGGATGCACTTTTGGAATAGGCAGATTCCCTCTAGTTTGCTGTAGTCTCACCTACTCCCTATCACACCCAGTGTTTCTATACAAATTATAGTTCCCACCTGGGCCCGGTAGAACTTACAGTTAGAGACATATGCTTACCAGATGTTAGATTTAAGGGCACACCTCTTTGGCAAGAGCCAGTTAATAGTGCTGGGGAATGTGGGGCATGCCCTCAGAACAAAGGACCCAATTCATGCTGCTCTCAAATGCACTAGAGGTTACAACTTCCTCCACAGGGTGACCTCTGGGTTTACAAAAATTCATGGCATTCAGACTACAACATTAAGTCCACAGATTGTCCTAAGAAGCCTTGGGTAGTAATGCAAATGGAGCCAAATCTGGACAGAGAGCTATTCTCTGCCATCCTGCTGTCTCCTCTGAGGCATTAAAATTGGAGAACCCTTTAGTTTTGTAGACCTTCATTCTGTTCTTTACCCATCCCCCATACACAAAAGACTAAAGGTGGCTTTAACAATAAGGTCTTTATTACACAAACCAGAACAATGTAAAGCAAGAATTTGTTGGGTTGGGTAACTTGAAGGCTGAATAAATCCACCATGAGCATCACATGAGAACAATGTCTTTGAAAAAGGGGAATCTCTGCAAGCCGACAGCAGAACCCAGCTCATGTCTTTGTGGCCAAACATGGGTCAGGTCTACAGTAAACCAGTCACAGTGGGAGGGAATAATGCTCTCCAATAGCCTCAGGTTACTCACAATTCCTTCCAGTGATTGGAAGGAGATAACAGAGGTCTGCCTTTCTCGAGCATAGTGGAGTGGCTGACACACTCTGAAGGACTGCCAGTGTGTAGAACTGGGATGGCTTCTGCCACAAACACTGGCAGTGACAAACTCTGGTCACTGGTCAGAGTCCATGGTCATAAAATGCAAGTCAGCTCCAGAAAGCTTCCACCATACCTAGCAATTATATCTCCCCAATGTGGATATTTGGATGAATGAGGTTCAACTTCTGGCTGATGGTTCCCTCATAAAGACTATTCTCTGAGCTTATCTCTGATGTCAGTCATTATGTTGAACAAGGAGGGAGCACATTCCTTGCACTTCTAAGGCCTTTGTACAATGTGAACTTTCCAGTGCCAAATGAGGTTAGGCTGAAAGGCTTTCCCACATCTGCTGTACTAATAAGGCCTATCTGGTTTGTGAAGTTTCTGGTGTTGAATCAGATTAGACCTTTGGCTGAAGGCTTTCCCACATTCACTGCACTCATAAGGTCGCTCACCACTGTGGACTCTCTGATGTTTCATGAGATCAGAGCTTTGGCTGAAGGCTTTCCCACATTCATTGCACCCATAAGGACGTTCACCAGTGTGAAGTCTCCGATGGTTACTGAGGCTGGAGCTTTGGCTAAAGAATCTCCCACATTCACTGCACTCATAAGGCTGTTCACCTGTGTGAATTCTCCGATGTTTAATGAGACTGGAGATGTGGCTAAAGAATTTCCCACATTCGTTGCACTTATAAGGCCTTTCTCCAGTGTGAACTCTCTGATGTTTAATTAGGTTGGAGTTGTAGCTAAAGGCTTTCCCACATTCACTGCACTCATGAGGGCTTTCACCAGTATGAACTCTCCGATGTTTAATTAGGTTGGAGCTTTGGCTAAATAATTTCCCACATTCACTGCACTCATAAGGCCTTTCTCCAGTGTGAACCCTCCGATGTTGAATGAGGTTAGAGCTTTGGCTAAAGAATTTCCCACATTCGCCACACTCATAAGGCATTTCGCCAGTGTGAACTCTCCGATGTTTAATTAGACTGGAGATGTGCCTAAAGAACTTCCCACATTCATGGCACTCATAAGGCTTTTCTCCAGTGTGAACTCTCTGGTGTTGAAAGAGACTAGAGCACTGGCTAAATAATTTCCCACATTCGCTGCACTCATAAGGCCTTTCTTTAGTGTGGATTTTCTGGTGCTGAATAAATCTGGTTTTGTGGCTGAAGGCTTTTCCACATTCGCTGCACTCATAAGATCTTTCTCCAGTGTGAACCCTCTGATGTATATTGAGGGTGGAGGTCTGTCTAAAGAATTTCCCACATACACCACACTCATAAGGCCTTTCTCCAGCATGGATTCTCTGGTGCTGAACAAGTGTGGATTTGTCACTGAAAGTCTTCCCACATTCGCTGCACTTGTAATTCCTCTGCACAGTGTGAACACCCACTACACTTTCAGTGCTCCTATGTGGCTCCCCAAGACTGTGAATGACCTGATGCTGGAGAAAGCCTGATCTGGCCATGAAGTCCTTCCCATCCTCCCTACATGTGAAAGGCTTCTCTGACATGTGGGCTCTGCAGGTCTTCACAAAGGAGGTCTTACCCTCATCCCTTCTGTTGGGCTTCTCTACATTCTGTTGCATCTGTTGCTGGTGAAGTTTTGCACTGAACCCGAACCCTTTCCCAAATGCCCCACACATGTATGGTTTCTGGCTGGGATGTGTTGCCTGGTGTTCAACAAGGTGCAAAATGTCTTTTAAGAGCAGGCCACTCATGTCACAAGAGTAGTCCTTCTGGACGGACAGACCTGCCTTGGGATTCCTGTCCTGTGATACTCCTTCTATAAAAACACTATGCTCAGAAGGTGACTCTTGGCCCTCCATTCCATGCCAAAAACCTGAAAACAGAAATAATGGTGAAATTCATGTTAACTTTGGTGGATAGAAAGACCAGTTGACAGTGAGTCAATTCCAACTCATAGTGACCTTATAGGTCAGAGCACGGTGTTTCCAAGGCTATAATATTTACGGAAGCAGACCGCCACGTCTTTCTTCCAGAGAGGCTGGTGGGTTTGAACCACTGACCCTTCAGTTAGCAGCCAAGTGCTTAACCACTGCACCACTAGGGCTCTTTGGAAAGAAAGAGCCCCATCACAAATGTGTGTCTGACCCAAGAATGAGTCCATGGAACAGTTGGCAAGATGAGAGGCCTGATGTCAGAGTAAGGAATGGTCTGCTCTGTAGTACTGTGCCTGACAAGGTCACAAAATAGGGGAGACTTTACTAGGGCCAAGAAATAAGGACTGGGTACAGTACTGGATGGAGATGCAGGGTCTCCAACTCACTTCTCTGTAAAGGCCTTTTATCAGAGTCAGAATTGATCTGACGGCAACGGGTTTGGTTTTGGTTTTGGTTTTGGCTGCTGGGAACCCATGAGGGCTTTGCAGAAGGGTGAGTCTAGGTCCGGGAAAATCCAACTGCAACTAAATAGCTGGAATTATGGAAATGTGCACATCTCATGACATATTAAGCTCATTGCCATTGAGTCGATTCCAACTCATAGTGACCCTATAGGACAAAGAAGAACTGCCCTATAGGGTTTCCAAGGAGTGGTTGGTGGATTTGAACCCCCGATCTTTTAGTTAGCAGCCGAGCTCTTAACCACTACACCACCAGGGCTCCAGCTGCATGACATATTAAGTACAGGCAATGTTGGGGAGCACTGCAGAGGGAATTGTGGAGAGTGAGGCACAGAAGCCAAAAGGGTAGGGGATCACCAGAGCCCAAAGACAAAATAGAAATGACAAGTGAACGAAGTATCAAGGATGAGGAAGGAGAGGTAGAAATGAAGTATGGTCACTGACTTTGGCACCAAAACAATGATAAACATGAGAAAAGTTGCCGGTATGATATGAACTCACTGGTGATATCACATCTTCTTCCATTTCCTACTTACCAGAGCCAGGCCCCCTATAAGCCCCTCTTGCCATGGCTGGAGTCATGTCCACTCTGTCAGGCATCCAGGGCTCTTTCTCCATCTCCAGTTGGGCAACTACATTAGGCCTGAAAGATGTAATTCCTAAGGGAAACACAGGTGAGTAGCTAACATTTGCCCAGGTGAACTACCCCACGACAGACCACAGGAAAGAAAACTAAGTATTACAAAAAGAACCTACAAGGAAGGTCTTGCAGGAACAGCCCAGTGATTCCAGCAAGTAGTGACCACATCAGTGCCTGCAATTCCTGGCATAGTTAGGCCGTAGGAAATGCCAGCGAAAGGAAAGGACAGAACCAGAATCACAGAACTGTCACAGATCTGGACAATCACCTAAGCAGGGAGCCAGATGGGATCCATTGGGCAGACTGCAAGACTCCTCATTCCAGGACCCTTCTGCAAGACTTCAAGGCAGCAGGTGTGGGAGCTGCTCAAAAAGAGGATGAGATACTGCACACCGCTCAGCCCTGGAACCCACAGCACATATACAGTAAAACCTGCGAAAGTTGGAACCTGTGTAAGGTGGAAACCTGTCAGAGAAGGAAAACCCAAATATTTTCCACTAAAACAAGCGATCGAAAAATGGTAAGAGGGCACCCTATCAAAGGCGGGAAATTTGTGAGACCCGGAAAAACAAGGCAGTCCCGTCGAGTTCCAGCTCTCACAACTTTCACTGTACCAGGAAAATGGAGAAGGAAGCAGTGCCTATGGTCCAGCTGTGGGAAGGACTGAGCTGTCTCTTGGGAAGAGGGGAAAGGCAGAGACCGGCTCAGGACAGGTAGGTGTAAGGGTCTTACCCAGTGAGGCTATAAGTGCAAAGTTCTCCAGCATCACATTGCAATACAAGAGTCTCTGAGTCTCATCAAGGAGGCCCCATTCCTCCTGGGAAAAGTAAATGGCCACATCCTCAAAGGTCACACAGCCCTGCATAATGGGAACAGTTAATTCCATAATCAGTTTCTCTCAGGAATCCCCATCCATTTCCCCATATCTAACGCCTGCTTACCCTCCTCCCCAGCTCCCCAACTCAAGAGGAGATACTTTGCTCTTTTATTATGCCCCACTGATCTCTGTATCAGCCCACAGCAACAATAGGCAGGTGGGCAGATGGACACCATTGAAGCTCTGGGCCTGGAGAGCAGAGCCCAATCCCCTCATCTGTGAGCCCCCTCCGCTAGTGCTGCCAATGTCATGCCTCCCAGACACATACGTAGACTCAGTCTTCTCCCTTAAGCCCCCAGTACCAGGGCCCTAGGGCTGACAGTTCACACCCCCCTCCACATGCATATCACAGCGGGGACTGCACCTTCCTTACAACTCTGGACCCCACCGCTGCATCTCCATTGCCTCTGGTCTCTCCTCCCCCAGCCCATATCATAGCCATCTCCATGGACTCTACATGTCAGTCTGCACACAGCATCCACAGAGTACGTGACAAACAGAACCATGATCCCATCCTGCCCCAGACCACTGATGGCTCCCACTGCCAAGAGCAACACCCAACCCTGCTCTGAAGGCCTCCCTGTCTCCTGGGTAATGTAGTCCTGTGCTAGCTTCAACCTAAGCCACCCAGAACCACACACTGATCTCAAAACCCTCTGCCTTCTTCCTCTTCTGTGCTGCACATTCTATTCTTTCATCAGTCACACTCATTCAACAGCCAACCCCTCTGGCCCTCCTACCCATCTACCCAGAGTCTAGCTTTGCTCCCAGCTGGCCCCGTTTGTCCCTGAGCTAATTCTCCACCCTGACTGAAAATCCCCAGGCCCTATTAAGGGTCACCACAAAGGCCTGGTGAGAACATCCAAAAACCCACTACCATCGAGTCCATTCTGACTTATAGTGACCCTATATGACAGAGTAGAACTGCCCCATAGGGTTTCCAAGGAGCGGCTGGTGGATTTGGACTGCAGCCCTTTCAGTTAGCAGCTGAGCTCTTAACCACTGCACCACCAGGGCTCCGGTGAGAACAGATGGCTGAATAAACACCAGTCAAGGCCTCACTGTAATATTACCTCCATTACTGCTAAGTAAGCCTCAGCATCCATCTCATACCTACTGCCTCTAGGAAAATTTGGCCACCTGCCAGCGCCGCCCCCGCCCCCCCGACCATTCTTCCTCATCTGTCTTTATGATGCTTAACAAGGCAACCATGGTGCCCAAGCAAGACACCTACCTCTCCATTTTCAGGCCCCACCTTCCTCTTTCTCCCTAATAGCGAAGATGCACTTTCCTAAATCCGATCTACAGCTACATCACTGTCCACACACCACATGCCACAGGTTGGATGTTTCTAACCATAATGCCTCCCCAGAACTCCATAACTGCGTGTGTAGATGTCCATTCTTCAACTCCACTTAGGGGTCTCTGGAACATTAACATGGCCAAAATCTAACTTCTGATATTTCCACTGAAAATTCCTCCTACAACCAACTTCTCCTTCTCAGTGGATGGTACTTCCATCCTTCCAGCTGCTAAAGCCAAAAACCTTGGGGTCATCCCCTCTTTCTCACCCTCTGCACCAGGAAAACTAGTCAGTCAGACTTAAAAGACAGATTCAGAATCCAACCACTTCTACCTACAGGTACCACTCTCATCTGGCCACCGTAATCACTTACTCGCCTGGACGACTGCAGTAGTCTACCCCCTGGCCTCCCTGCCTCCACTCTCGCCCCACAATCGGGTTTCCACTCTGCATTCATAGGGAGCCTGTTAAGACCTGAATTAGATCACTTTCCTCCTCTACTCTACACCTTTCACGGCTCCCAACACCCTCAGAATAGAGGACCAACTCCTCCGCCTGCCATTCCAGGGCTGACTTTTGCCCACCTGTTCTGTTTGCACCAGACATACGGGTGACCTGGGGTTCCCTCTCACCCCCAAGCATTTGTACATACTTGTTCCTGTGCCTGGGAAACCCTTCTCAACTCATTCCATAGGTTCAGGACCCTAGGCCGGAGTGACTCCCCTCTAGGGCCCCCAGACTCAAAAGCAGGGACATGGAATAGGCGAGAAGTCTGAGGACAGCTCCATCGTTTATACCGTGGCGCCAAGAGCACGAGAGTGAGGTCCCGAGCGCCTGAAAGCCGGAAGCCCCTCCACTCACCTGCGCCAGGTGCATCAGTGTCGCCGCCGCCATCGGAGTCTGCGGATGGAGCACGGTCATGAGGCGCGTGGGCTCAGCCGACCACCTACCCTGCCTCGCCCCGGGCAGGCTGCTACCTCGGGCTGAGGGTCGTACTCCTAGCCTCAGTCTCCCCCGTGTAAAATGCGCACAAGGAGCCGGGTGCCCCCTTCGCGGTCGCGGAGAGCGCGCTCCACAGCCAGGCCCTGGCGGACACCCGTTACAGGGAAGTCACGGTTCGTACAAAGGCGCAGAGGTGAGTCCTATCCTCCTCACTGTCCTTCCGTGCTCAATCCCGAACAGCCGTCCGGGAAACGGTCCCGACCCGGCTCCCGGGTACCATGGCTGGGTGTGGACAAACCCGCCACAGGCAAACGGATTCCGGGACCGAAACGCCCCAGGTCGGGCCCCGCCCACGCGGGCTGTAAGACACGCCTCCCTCCTGGGCCGCCATTGGCCAGCGTCCCCCGCCGACGCACGGGCACAGCCTCCTGGGTAATGTAGTTCGGCCCTGCAGCCTGCCGGGCTAGCGGAGAAGGGGGGAGCGGAGAGCGGAGGCGGGCGGTGGTGGCTAGAACGGTGAGGGGGTGGCGAAGCTGGGGGGGGCGCGGAGGTGTGCCCGGGGGAGGTGGGGGGGGCGCAGAGGTGTGCCCGGGGGAGGTGGGGGGGGGCGCAGAGGTGTGCCCGGGGGAGGTAGAGGAAGAAGTGCAGAGGGGCCCCTTCCAGTGTTCCGATACAAAGGCCAAGCGGCACCGCGTGGAGGGCTGGGATATAATGTTCCAAGGTTCCAGACAGTGCTTTTCCTTCCTCTCTTTAAGAGACTTTTCTATGACTACCTTAAAAAAAGTCTGTTGCCCTCGAGTTGATTCCGACTCATAGCGACCCTATAGGACAGAGTAGAACTGCCCCACAGAATTTCCAAGGAGCGCCTGGTGGATTCGAACTGCCAATCCTTTGGTTAGCAGCCCTAGCTCTAACCCCCACCAGGGTTTCCGCCCCGCCCTTAGTAGTCTGTAATACATTACTTGGCCTTCCTGCCTTTGTCGGCATAGGTGATCCCCTTCACCTCGCAGACACTCAGTGCTGTCCAGTCGATTCTGACTCATAGCGACCCTTTAGGACAGAGTAGGACTGCCCCATAGGGTTTCCAAAGCTGTAATCTTTAGGAAGCCGACTGCCACATCTTTTCCCACAGAGAGCTGCTGGGTTCGAACCTCCAACCTTACGACCTTTCGGTTAGCAGCCAAATTCTTAACCACTGCGCCATGGGGCTCTCAGACACTTAGAAACCTACACTGACATTGAAAACGAAGGTAATACCTGATTTGCGTGCTCTTTGTATACTTATGTTAAAGGTTGCTCTAATTCCAAAACCAAACCAAACCCGTTACCGTTGAAGTCCATTTGGACTCTTAGCGACCCTGTGTACAGCAGAACAAAACCCTGCCCGGTCCTGCGCCATCCTCACAATGGTTGTTATGCTTGAGCCCATTGTTGCAGCCACTGTGTCACTCTTTTTCGCTGACCCTCTACTTTACCAAGCATAATGTCCTTCTCCAGGGACTGGTCCCTCCTGAGAACATGTCCAAAGTCTGTGAGAGGAAGTCTCGCCATCCTGGCTTCCAAGGAATATTCCGGCTCTGCATCTTCTAAGACAGACTTGTTTGTTCCTTCGGCAGTCTGTGGCGTATTCAGTATTCTTGGGTAGCATCTGCATCACCTGGGAATTTGTTTATAATGAAAGTTCTTGAGTAACAACTAAAACCAAGTGACTCAGAAACTCTGGGGGTGGGACCCAACACTCTGTGCCTTAACAATCCCTCCAGGGAGTTCGAATGCTTGCTCCAATTTGAGAAAAGGGACTCCCAATAAAATTCAATGAAATGGTAAAAAATAGCACTACGCATCTCATGGTTGTTGTTAGCACTCTCCAGTTGGCTGACTCTTGGCGACCCCATGTGCTACAGATGCCCCATAGGGTTTTCTTGGCTGTAAGTTTTACCGAAGCAATTTGCTACTCTTTTCTTCTGTGGAGCCGCTGGGTGGGTTTGAACCACTAACCTTTAGGTTAGCAGCCGATTGCAAACTGCTTGTGCCACCCAGGCTCCTTTTTATGTCATGGTAGGTAACATAGAAAGGGCACAGGGCTTAGCACAGAGTTACTACTCGATACATAAGAGTTATTATCATCACAAGGCTCTCACACTGCTGTGGGGAGGGCAAGTCAGAGACACCTCTCTGCAGATTATTGGGATATTTGTCAAAATATAAGATGCAGGGACTCTAAGTCAGCAAGTAGCCTCATAGGTAATAGATATAATTTTTATATGAAAGTATACCATTGTACCATTTGGTGCCTACTTTATTTTAAAAACTGATCATACAGGAGGATTTCATAAACTACAGGGCCTATTTCCCAAGGGACAAATGTGGGGACATGGTGGTTCATGCTAAAATTCTCATATAAGAGACTTGGGTTCCATTCCCAGCCAATGCACCTCATGTGCAGCCACCACCTGTCCCTCAGTGGAGGCTTACATGTTGCTTTGATAGGGAACAGGTTTCAGTGGCGCTTCCAGGCTAAGACAGACTAGGAAGAAAGACCTGGTGATCTACTTCCAAAAATCAACCAATGAAAACCATATGGATCACAACAGTTCAACCATGGGGATGGTGCAGGACGAAGCATGGGGTCGCTGTGAGTTGGGGGCAACTCAATGGCACCTAACAACGTATGATTCAATGCTTGAGAATGTAAGTGGACACATACAGAAGTGGACAGTGGAGTTGAGATGATTTCAAGTTTGTGCCATTAGATGACTCATCATTATTCATCTCTAATTCTTGGTAACCTGAACCTCCTCCCTCTCATGACTGCCCTCTGTCATCCAGACCTAGGTACGTATGTGAATGATCACGAGATATCCCAGCTTTATGTCCACCAGCTCGAGGTTACCAGCTCCTGTTCTCATCAAGATTTAATCACCTCATCACCTGAACCTGTAGCCTCCAAAGGAGCACCAAATTCTAAGGAGATGTGGAAACTGGAACCACTGAGGTTCAAGAACGAAGGGACATAAATGAGAAAACATAATGAGGACACAGTTTCAAAATCACCTCTGCCCATTTTTCATTGCCCAAAACTCATTTATAGGGTCCAAATTAAGTGTAAGGGAAGCTGAGTGTACAGAAAGAGAAAAAGGGGATTGGTGAGCATCTAGCCAGTTTCTAGAAAATATCCTTCAATTTGGTAACCAGTTACTCATTTTTAATTTCTCCTAACATATTCAACACCCTCAGTCCCTCTTTTATAGGACAACTCAAAATTCCATCCAGTCAGTGCTTCCGTCTCAATCTTAATATTTATATTCCTAAATATTACACAATGGAGCTAAAGAAGAGTATGTCTGGAATACAAGAGTCCCTTAGAGCATCTCTTGGTACTGCCATGCCCTGTGATTAAAGTCAATGGATAACTACAACAACCCAATTCATGCAGGACTGCTAATGGCCCAGACTATTCAGCCATTCGGGAATGAAGTTTTGGGTCATCCCATCAGGCAAAGAACCATAACTGGCTGAAGTGCTTGCTGAGGGCTAACGGAGTACGGAATGAGTAATGGAAGGCCAGGCCCTAAGATCAGAAGACTGTAAATAGAATGATGTCGTCTGTCCTTACTCACACCAAACACATAGTTGTGGTTCAGGAGCAGAGTGGAAGAACCTATTCAAACTGCTGAAGAATTACAGCCAACCTAAATCTCTATAGATAGCAAAAATGTCTTTCAAGAAAAAAAAATGAAATAAGACAATTTCAGGACAAAAATTTAAATTTTGATAGAAAATTAACCTGCATGAGTTGAAATTCTAAAGGTTATATTTGAAGATGGTGGAAAATTATCTCAGGTGGAAGATCTGCAAAGACCGAAGGAGTGAGGATCCAAGAGAGGAATGCATCTTTGGATTAATACAACTGCTCATCTGCATAAAACAAGAATAATATCTCCTGTGGACTTAGAATGATAAGGCATTACCATGCAGAGCCTCAATAATATATCAACTGAGATGGGCAAAGTGATTAATGCTCCAGGTCCCTTATATCGTAAAAGAAGAGGATTGCTGCTGTTGTCAGGCGCCTTGGAGTCAGTTCCGACTCATGGCGACCCTGTGTACAACGGAATGAAATGCTGACTGGTCCTGTGCCATCCTCACAGTGGTTGTTATGCTTGAGCCCATTGTTGCAGCCACTGCGTCAATCCATCTCGTTGAGGGTCTTCCTCTTTTGCACTGACCCTCTACCTTACCAAGCATGATGTCTTTCTCCAGGGACTGGTCCCTCCTGACAACATGTCCAAAGTATGTGAGACATAGTCTCACCATCCTTGCTTCTAAGGAGCATTCTGGTTGTACTTCTTCCAAGACAGATTTGTTCATTCTTTTGGCAATCCATGGTATATTCAATATTCTTCGCCAACACCATAATTCAAAGGCATCGATTCTTCTTCCGTCTTCCTTATTCATCGTCCAGCTTTCACATGCATATGAGGTGGTGGAAAACATCATGGTTTGGGTCAGGCGCACCTTAGTCTTCAAGGTGACATCTTTACTTTTCAACACTTTAAAGAGGTCTTTTGCAGCAGATTTGTCCCATGCAATGCATCTTTTGATTTCTTGACTGCTACTTCTATGAGTGTTGATTGTGGATCCAAGTAAAATGAAATCCTTGACAACTTCAATCTTTTCTCCATTTATTATGATGTTGCTTATTGGTCCAGTTGTGAGGATTTTTGTTTCCTTTATGATGAGGTGTGATCCGTACTGAAGGCTGTGGTCCTTGATCTTCATTAGTAAGTGCTTCAAGTTCTCTTCAGTTTCAGCAAGCAAGGTTGTGCCATCTGCATATCGCAGGTTGTTAATGAGACTTCCTCCAATCTGGATGCCAGGTTCTTCTTCATATAGTCCAGCTTCTCAGATTATTGGCTCAGCATACAGATTGAATAAATATGATGAAAGGATACAACACTGACCCACACCTTTTCTGACTTTAAACCACGCAGTATCCCCTTGTTCTGTTTGAACAACTGCCTCTTGATCTATGTACAGGTTCCTCATGAGCACAATTAAGTGTTCTGGGATTCCCATTCTTTGCA